TGTCGTGGCACGTGTCGCGTGTCGGTATCGGTGCTACATAGAGTATCACTATCTGTATAATTATTAGTGAGAAATGTTTTGAGGTTGAATTTGGCTATACTTAGTAGAGTTCAAGACTGTAACTGGGGCTGGCAAAGTATCAAGAGATATAATCAATTGAATTCATTGTCACTGCTTTCCTTCTATTAGAATATTTAGACCATATCTCATAATATCATTATAATATCTCAAAATATTTTAGGGTGTCTTAGATGATCTCTTAGGAGTGGTTTCCATATTTCATGAACTGTTTCTTTATTTAATTAGGATTAGCATTCTAATATTAGTATAAATTGGGATTAGTGAATTGTATATTTTAACTCATCATTACAATTTACACACCATTAGAGCCTTTTAAGAAAGTATATAACGGGAGGAGAAAAGCCCATGTGGGGAATAAAGAGTTGATGGCAAAGGAAAACCAAGGTGAGCAGTTAGTCACAAGAAAGGACACATGGCATGCTACGAATGGAGAGGAAAATTTCCAAGAGAGTGGTGAGGCTGATTCGGAAAGGAATAGTGAGATATAAGGCAGTTAGGAGTGGGGAGTGAGCGTAGAGCATTTTGTAACAGAAAGGGGAAAAGGAGGGTTGCTGGGAGGTAGCAATTCCTAGTGGGTGTGGGTAGTATTGTAGTAGCTGTCTTCATTCCTTTGTATTTGCAATTGGGTAGTTGAATGTTAATTTTCTTCTTCACTGTTCTGAAATACTCTGTAACCAGACATTAATAGTGAATCGTTTTCCTTCTTCTTAGACTTGTGCTTCGTTTACATTCTGTTTATTAAATTTCTGGTACCAACATCCTATAGTTTCAATACCCTCCAATTTTTACACTCAACCAAGTATTGGGCAAACACAGAAGGCAAATTGTGGAAGGGTGATATTGTAATGGATTCAGAGGGAGGTTTATTTTATATTAAGTTACATTTATGATATGTTGTGGCTGGCAACTTGCCGTGCTCTTATGTTTTTGTGCCTTCATTGCTTTTATAATTGTATAATGTAACCATGTCTTAACCAAGGTGTAAAGTTTTGCAGATGGCTAGAAAACATACGTGATTGGTGCATTTCACGGCAGCTATGGTGGGGTCACCAAATACCTGCATGGTATGTCACTGTAGAGGATGACATACTGCAGGAATTTGGTGCTTACAACGATCATTGGGTGGTGGCAAGAAATGAAAAGGAGGCCCAAGATGAGGCTAGCCAAAGGTATAATGGAAAGAAGTTTCGTTTAGGCCAGGATCCTGATGTTCTTGATACGTGGTTTTCTTCTGGTCTGTTCCCATTATCTGTGCTGGGATGGCCTGATGACACAGAAGACCTGAAGGCATTCTATCCAACTTCTGTTTTGGAAACTGGCCATGATATCCTCTTTTTTTGGGTTGCTCGTATGGTGATGTTAGGAATGAAGTTGGGTGGCGATGTGCCTTTTAGAAAGGTGAGGTTACTATCTCTTGCTGATAGTTTGGGAAGGGCTTTATCCTTGTATAGGCATAATGAATTTTTTGTGATACTGGTGATTTTTTTTTTCTGGCTAAAATAAGAAATTCAGTAAGACAAAGAATGTTACAAAGTGATCTGAGGATAAGAGAGATACTCAGTAAAAAAAGGAAAAACAGCCCTGAGAAAACAAAAAAAAAACATCAATGAAGGCATGAAGCAAAGCTAAATCTAACCAATCCCTTGTGCATGCCTAGAAATTTTGATCAATGACCTTCTCAATGATGTACTTACAACCCCGTGCAGATTTATTTGCATCCCATGATTCGTGATGCACATGGGCGCAAGATGTCCAAGTCTTTGGGGAATGTTATTGATCCCATTGAAGTAATAAATGGGATATCTCTGGAAGGCCTACATAAGAGGTTAGAGGCCGGTAACCTGGACCCCAAAGAACTAGCTACTGCCATAGAGGGTCAGAAAAAGGACTTTCCAAATGGTATTGATGAATGTGGTGCTGATGCTCTCCGTTTTGCACTGGTCTCGTACACAGCTCAGGTGTCAACCTTGTACCAACATTTATATGACTGATTTTTTCACCAATTTAGTTAACTTCTGTGATTTAATTGTGCTGTTTTCGTTCATTTCAGTCTGACAAAATTAACCTAGATATTCAAAGGGTGGTTGGGTATCGCCAATGGTGTAATAAATTGTGGAATGCAGTACGATTTGCTATGAGCAAGCTCGGAGATGATTATATTCCTTCTGCAACTTTGATTCCAGATGTTCTCCCATTTAGCTGCCAGTGGATACTCTCTGTGTTAAATAAAACCATATCCAAAACATTGAAGTCTCTAGAATCATTTGAGTTCTCACAGGCTACCACTGCTGTGTATTCTTGGTGGCAGTATCAATTGTGTGATGTATTTATTGAAGTGATTAAGCCTTACTTTACTGCTAACGATCCCAAGTTTGCTTCTGAAAGACGCTTTGCACAAGATACTTTGTGGTTTTGTCTAGACAATGGTCTGCGATTGCTTCATCCCTTTATGCCTTTTGTCACGGAAGAATTGTGGCAGCGCCTTCCTTCACCCAGGGAATGTAAGAGAGCAGAATCTATCATGATATGCAATTATCCTTCACCTGTAGAGGTGAGTTTTTTTAATATTTTACTCTTCAGATTATAAAGTATATTGTTGCCTATTTTCACATCATCCCTTTTTTGTACATTCTCGTTTATTTTCTCTTGGTGATATTCTTCTGGAATATGGATGTAATAGAACTGCTGTATTCCCCCATCCCCCACCCATCCCATCCCCCCTCATTTTTGTGGGTTGAAAGTGTCAAGCATGACTTGGCAAATGGTACCTCCTATGTATTTATGATATGTAGTGTTTATCTTGCTTTGGCTATTAAATAATAATAAAATTTATTGTTTGGTCGTATTTTTAATTTTTTTATTTTATTTTTTTATTTAGAGCTGGAATAATGAAAGGGTGGAGAATGATATGGACCTTGTTGAGTCTACTGTTAAGTCTCTCAGATCACTGGCGAAAGAAAGGCGTGACAGGTATGTGGAAGCAACATTTGCTTTTGTACTAGTCTCAGGTTTTCTGCTCTGTTTTGTCTATATATATCTGGAACCTCTCTTTTTTGGGGGAACAAATGAGGAATTCTCCAAGTATAGAAAAGAGTTGAATAAATGAGGATAAGAAATCCTCCTAAAATAACCAAAACAACAAGACAAAGGAAACAGAACATGAGATACTTTGGGAGGCTATGACCTGTGCATTGTACTTTGTATCTGTTTCTGTAAATATTAATTAGATTGTTATTCAATCGAACATGCTTTGCTGATTCCAAAATGATGCTTATGTTGCTAGGCGACCAGCTTTTGTTCTCTGCCGAACACAGGCGGTTGAAGAGATTATTAACAGCCATCAACTGGAGATTATAACACTAGCTAATCTATCCTCTTTGACTGTAAGTTGCACAAGTTGCTTTGTTGTGTTTGCATCTAATGTATCCCTTGCATTTTGTTTGGTGATATTGTCATTAATCACTTAGCCAGTGTTCACTTCACTTGATTAACATATTTTTCACTTTTAATGTCCCAGACAATCACTGAAATCGACGCAGTTCCATCTGGATATGCTGATACTGTCGTTAATGAAAGCCTTTCTGTTTATTTAGAGCTCCAAGGAACTAGTTCTGCGGAAGCAGAGCTAGGAAAGATGAAGAAGATAGATGAGCTGAAGAAGTATGTTTATCTCGGATTGTTTTTGAGAATACATTTTAACATATCAAGTCGTAAAATATGATAAGGTTGAAAATAATATGTCATTTGCATTTTGACTAATATATAATATAATGAAGTATATAATATAATGAAGTATGCTTAGATGGTTGATTTTAAGTGGAATTTAATACACATGAATTACTTTTATTAAAAAGTTTATAGTAAGCATGTAACATTTTTTTTTCTAAGTTGCTTTTAACAAAATTTGAACTATTTAACAGACTGGAGTTTTTATTTATGCAGGCAAATAGAAAGATTAGAGAAGATTATGAATGCTCCAGGTTATGAAGAGAAGGTTTTGCCACATATTCGAGCTAAGAACGAGGAGAAGCTAGATTCCCTAAAGGAGCGTTTATTACTTGAGGAAACGGCTGGACTGAGTCTCTAGCTTCGACGTAATATGAACTTGATTGATCATCAATTTTTCTTACATGCTTATATATGAATGATGAAGCAGTTAGAAAGGTCCATCAGTAGTATGAAGCTTCATTTAAAATTTTCGTACTTTTATGGCCTAACTATAACTATTGGCTGCCCTACACTATATCTTTTGCTGAATTAATGCAAATTTTGGTAATATTTTGTCACGGTATTTGGGCCATTAATGGGTCACCCTTAGTCCTGACCATGACTTTTGTAACCTTTTTTCGTTATTGGATGTTGACAGGGCACTCCAAATCCAAACTCCAAAAGTATTGTCGGTTAGATAACTTATCTTGTCACAATAGAAACTGTGAAATTGGTTTTATTTATACAGAACTATTAAAAGGATAAAAACTATGATAAAATTGCTGTGAGATCGGGGTAATAGAAGTCCCACCAACGGTATTATTATTCCCAACTGGCAGAATTAAATTACTAATTCGGAACAAAATATTTTTGTGTTATGACCTTATAAAATGAAAAATCTTTGGTTATCATGTTTTTATTTTTAATGCAACTTCACTTAATAGTTATTACTCACTTTAGCTTATTTGAATTGATTTTGTAAGCCTGCAGTATGATTGTTGGTTTGGGTTAAGAATGCCGTCTTGAATAACTTCTGATGTGATAACGAAATTGGACTATGCCAAATATTTCTCTTTGTTTTATTCTTCTTCACCACTTATAAATTATAAAATTTCAGATTAAAAATTTATATTAAAAAAAAATAAAAATCATATGCTTTGTTACATGCAATATGAATATACACAAAATCATTAAAAAGGAATCTTCCTCTAATCTATAATCAGTATCCGTACTGGTTTAAAAATCGTTTGTACGGACACTATTTTGCAAATCCTACCAAAACCTCTTCATTACCGAAGATAGTTATAAAAAATTCAAATTAAATTGAATAACTCCACAATGAAACTTCAGCATCTTCAAATTCCACGTCGGCAGTGCCATATTCACTCTCCCAATAATGTGTTGGTGACAGGAGCACCATGTTCCTCAGATACTCCGGCACATCTTCTCCTTCTCCTTGTTCCTCCGTCATCACCGTCGCCTCCTCCGCAACCGCCACCGCCACTGCAGACTCACTATCCTTCCTCCCCTCATCTGTCTCCAACACAGTCCCCGGCCGGAACACCTCCGCCGCTTCTGCCGCCGCTTTCTGGATATCTCTAGCCTCCGACGTCGCCGGTACCGGCAATCGCCACGCGGAGTCCGCGAAGTTGAGGCAGGCTGACCTCCCCCTGAGCGCAATCGCCGCCACGTCGTGTGCACGCGCCGCCATTTCCGCCGTGGGGAAGGTCCCCAGCCAAATCCTGGTCTTCTTGTTGGGCTCCCTCACCTCGCACACCCACTTGCCGGAGTTCCTCTTCCTCACTCCCCGGTACACCGGATGCCGTGTCTCCCTGAACTTCTTCCTCCCTGCGCGCTTCTTCGGGTGGCTCGCCGCCAGGAACACCTCCTCGTCGGACAGCGCCTTTCGAGAACCGACCGACACCGGCGACGATGATGAAATCTCAGAGTTATCGGAAAAATGATTAAAGGGAATCATGTCAATGAGTGAAAAGTTTTGTTCTTTGATGTTGCTGCAGTGAAATGGAACAGTGTGTGGAAAAGGGTTAGTTGGTAGTCGTTACTCGTTACTAACTGTCGTTGTAACTGTTTCTTTTTCTGTGTTGTGATGTGGTGTGTGTTTTGTTGTTTTGGGAGGGAAGTGAGAATTGAATCATATGGTATATATATAACTTATAAGTACGAGGGTGAGTGAGGCTCTACGTGTTTCAAGGAAAGTTCTAACACTAGGTGTCATTATGGAGAAGCCAGCTAAGTTACCCACGGTATGGACGATGGTTAAGGAATTGAAAGTAGAGAATGGGTTTGGGTGGGGCCTACAAAGTTGAACTTGTCAAGAGCTATGTGTATGACACGTGTGTGATTTTGTTTAATGAAGATGGGTACTTCTAGATTTTTAAAATGGATAAGGATGGTTTGACTGAAAAGGAAAGGGGAAAGTGAAGAGAAGAAGGTGAGTGAGTGAGTGTGTGTGTGAGGAAAGTAGGGAAGTGAATCTGTGTTTGTCATAGTCAAAGGGTTGGCTTTAGATACTTTGGTTCCTACGGAGTCTAGGGGTGTCGGTTTTGGCTCAGTGTGACGTAAAGGAGGCAAGTGTTTTCTTAATAGGATTAGGAGGAGACAACTCACCCCCACTTGACCGTTTGATTTTCACATTATTTTAGTGCCTCAGATTGTTTTCGCAAGCTGGATTTGCGTAGGGAGACGATGATGATGATGTTTTCACCAAGGACAACTCATGCCTAGTGTTCAAACTTGATAAGCACATGTTTTTTTTTTTTTTTTTTTTTATAAAAGAGAGAGTTAATGTCTGTTTTGTTAGAAGAGATATATTCTCACTTTCAAAAATTTTTATTATTAACTTACTATTTATCTAATCACCTTCAGATCATTATTTTCTTTCTCTTCAGAAACTTTTTAGCATTCTTTTCCTTTAATCCAATGATGATTAGATTGGTAAATAATTTAATAGTGAAAAATTTTAGTAGTAAGAATATCTTCCATCTTTCTTTTATTGGTATCTGGAGTACGTCATGCATATTCTTTCGTTTTGTTGATCTAATTGGTGGTTACTAGTTATTTATTTTCTAATTTTTTTTTTACTGAAATAGATTTAATTTAAAATTTATAATTGTTCCAAAAAACAATTCCAACGAATCTATTTTAGATATTTCTGTATAGCGGAATGGAATAATTTAATAAAGTTGAATAAAGAAATAAGAATTGAATGAAATTATAGTTAAACAAAACCAACTCATTCATTCCACCAACGAGTTTATATCGTGCTTAGAAAAATGAAGATGTCGAGCATGTGGCAGAGCTCTATAAAAGTCTAAAAATAATATAAAAAAAAAATGAATTAGTATGAATACTTGACCTTTTTATTATTTTTTGTATAAATATCTTTATACTATATATATCAGGTTATATTTATTTTACAACAAGCACGTGATAGAATAGCATTATATTATTTAATACTATCAGGTTATTTGATTCTACCTGATGAGCAAACTCTTATTAATATTTGCAAAAACTTTCCTTTGTTTATTTTTTAAGTTAAAACAACCTCATTCAACAATTTCAAGACACGCCACATGTACACGGTACGTTATATTTTCAATTTTTAATGCAGAAAGTTATTGATTTTCAGTTTTGAGCTGTTATCATTTTAATTATTATAAAACTTAATTTAAATTTTAGTTTCTGACTCTTCTGAGTTAAGTTAAGTAGGGCTGGCCCAAAACTCAAGCCCAACTAATAAAAAAATGGAAGTTCTTGGATTGGGGGATAAGAAAGTAATTGGGTGGCGGTGGAGGAGAATATAGTAATAGATATAAATTGAGTTGGCTAATAGCTTATCGCCAAGTTTGTTTGACTTAAGCATCTCTTTGCTAAGACACCTTTTCTGAGGTGACTCTCATACTTTCGAAAACACGGTTGACAGTTAATAACCGTCTCTTCATTTTTCAATAAATAATTGTCTTTACTTTCTTCAAATAATAATAAAAAGGTGTGCAATTATTGCAGAAAAAATCACCTTAATAATAATAGTATAAAAATTTGTTGAAATAACCTCATAGATATTTTATTGTCAGTAAATTATTAAATATTTGTTAACTGTTTTTCTGTGATAAAATAAAATTTATAAAATATAATAAAAAATAACTACTAATGTAAGTATCACTATATATAAAAAAAACAAAATTTTTAACAAACATTTTTTATTGATGCAGATTTAAAAATAAAAAAATATTAAATAATTTTTTTTTTAAGGTTTTGAATATATTAAAAATTATTATTTTTAGTATGTATTCTTAAGACATCCATTAACTCTAATGTTAAGAAAAAAAACACACATTAATATTATTAGTAAACAAATAGTATAATAATTACAAGCAGATATTCTCTTGATTAGATTATGTAAAAGAAAGTCTACCAAAAAAAATATATATATATGTAAAGAAAAGGACAGAACCGGTAGTATTCATTTCCGCGGAAACGCGTAGATTACGTGGGTAATGGATTTGTTTTTCCTTTTCAAATTTTAAGAAAACCAAACATAGTGGGGCCCCGAAAGATTCAACCATCTAATGGTATTTAGTTGATGGGCCCACCTCAAAAACAATTAATTATATATTTTTCAATTATTTTAATTAATTTGGGTCCATACAACCTGGAGTTATTTATCTTCAACTCCATTGATGGCTGATTCCTGATTACAATTTCACCTTACAAAGTAAGTGATCACGTTTATTTAAAACTATATAATTTATTTTCAACATACATAATTATTTAAAGGCCATTGATAATCTTAATTGATAAACTTTATTTTTTAACACTAATTAATGATATTCCATATACTCTTTGATCTCCAGCTATGCCAAATTGCCAATTAAGCTCTTAAATTGAGAAAGGGGTTGTGATCTAGAGACATCGCCATCAGATTTGGCACAAAGTTTCTATCATGGCCATTGCTGATTTTCTGTATAAACAGACACAAAACCACAGAGAGTGACAGTGACTGGGTGATATAGCATAAAGAGTGCAGAAAAGGCCCCGGGAGACCATTTATTGCGGTTTTTTTTTTCTAAATTAAGAATCTGTTTGGATCCTCTTATTTTTAAGCTAGAAGCTACTTATAAGATAAAGTTAAAATAAAGAGCTTAAAAAAAGAAGCTAAAAGCTGTTTGGAAATTACAAAAAAAAATTAGCTTAAAAATTAATTAAAAGCACATATTTCAAGAAAATTATCTCTTTTTCTATCTTTATCACTCTTCATTTAAAAAAAAAGCACACAATTCAAGAAAAACAGATAAGAGCTTAAAAAAAAGCTCCTCCTAGGAGCTTTTAATTTTCAGCTTTTTCTTCATTATAAAAAAAAGAGCTTTTCGTTATAAGAACTTTTTCCAAAACCTGTTTGGCCTAGCTTATGCTTATAAATAGCTTCTAGCTTAAAAATAAGAGGATCCAAACAGGCACTAAGACTAAGAAGATTTTGGACTACGGAATTTTTTAATGTAATCCAGAAACATAAACACTATTGATCGTTCTTTATCTTTTTTGAAAAAATATTTAACTCTTAATTCTCTTCCCCCTTCTATTTTTGGGAGGAATCATAGTGGTCAAGAACCATCAAATAAGGTCTCAATTATAAAAGAAAAAAGGGTGGGCCATTTTTTACTAGTAGCAGTGAAAGTTTAAGGAGAGCCTAACTAGCTGCAACTTCTCCTATCAATACAGTACTCTTTTTTCATGTCTCTTGAAAGGGACTAGACAATCGACATAGCCTTCGCCTTTTCGAGAGTATCCAACTATCAATTATTTTGATTCTTTTTTCATCTTTCTCTATACCCTTTTTAGATGGATGGAAGATAGAAATATCTACCCTCCTGACACAAGTGATATAGATCACTATTCATATATCATACGCTCAAGAAGCTATTATATGGAAGTGTCATATAATCTCTATAGCTATTATAGTGGGAACTATTTTCTTATTAAATCGTTGACATTTTTATTCAACCACATCTATTGTCAACTATATCTTAACAGTGCCAATCTGATTTTGCTAGACACTAGGTCGGCCAGTCTTTGTAAGTTGAAAGAAAGCAAGATCAATAAGCAGGGACATAAGATACTTACTTTTTTTTTTTTCTTATATGTATATATAACAGGGAGATTGTTATATTTACAAACTTTTTTTTTTGCAAATTCTTACAAATTTCACTAAATATAACCGGTCATATTTCAATCAAGAGTGTATGACCGGTCATACTCAGTATGATTTGTAAAAAAAATTATAAACGGATCCTTTCTCCATATAACATATGTTTTTGAGCAGAAACATAACAAATATTTAACTAAGGGGTTAGAATATTAAGTAACTTGTATTATATTTTAAGTTCAAATTAAATACTGTATAATATTAATGTCAGACTTTCAAAGCTAATTTTATTTTATTTTAGTTGTTGTCATTAGTAAATAGTAACTATACATGCATCTGAGTTGGTGAAAATGAACGGATCAACAAGTATATATGTAAAACATTAATTTGTACAAATAACGGTAATCTAACATGATAACTTTGTGCGAGACAGAGATAGAAAGAATGAGAGAGATATGCAGTATTATTCTGTTTTTTATAGTTTTCCTTATGAGTTCAATAGTGTTATTTTTTATATTTTTTTTGGTAGATTATATATTGTTATTTTTTTTTATTCTTTTTTGGTAAATTATCTAGTGTTATTTTTTTTTTTAATACAAGAGGTGGGGAATTATCTAGTGTTATTTCGTTTGAGTGTAATTGACGCTTTGTAGGGCTTGGAACGATGTCTCTTCAATGGGAGTAAATCTTCAATATAACGAAAGTAGATGCATCTTTATTAAAATAAAATAAAAAATATAAGGATATGAAAAAAAATCAATTTAAAAAATGATTGAGACTTTCATAATATAAACCCTATATTTCGTACCAATACATTTATGAACGAAATTCTTTCGCTATAGGAAACGATTTTAAACAAATTTTGTGTTAGTAGATCACTAAAATTGTATTTTTCAAAAGACCCAAAGCAATTTAAGGTTTCAATGTATTAATTAAAAATAATTTGAGAAATTTT